GTGGACTTAGGTCAATTTGACCGAACTACTATAAACCATGATTTACATTGTCTTACTTTTTTGCACTTTACTTTTCCTATAATTTACTTTTATTGTACTCTGGTGTTTTCTTGATTATGTTTGTAAAAGAGATTATTGGTGAATTATTGTTGGTTAAACTTTATTTTGAAAATTAGAAAAGAGGAAAAAATATATAATATTTGTTTTTTGTAAAACAAAAAAAAAATAGTTATTTAATTGTCTCAATTTCTTAAAGATTCTTCATAACATGTTTTATTATTTAATCAAAATATTTCAAAAAGTTTTTAGGAGAATCAATACACCCCCTTTTGGTGTGCCATAATCCATCACTAGATCTCACAAGATGGATGCCGAGTTTGCTTTTCCAACCAATATTTTTTTTCTAATTCACTAATCTGTGTGCTCTCTTGTTGCCCAAGATGGCATGTACCACTCTAATAATATGTATTAAAAGCGCATGGACCAGTTTGTTAGTGTTTCCTTCCACTAGTGCCTTTCCAGGTAAGTATCCTAGTTCAACAAGCATGAACTCCAATTTTCTTGCTTTGATGAGGTTCTCGACCAGACATTATAGGTTGCAACACTCCTTTGTGTAATGATTGTGATCCTTAAGAAACGTGCAATACCTGAAGGTCTCACGAGCTTGTTTAGTAGTTTTCATATTCAACAAACACCTAAAGAACTATTTATTCTAAATTTTCTTAACTTGTTTATACATAGACACTCTTAACATAGTGCTTTATAGGGTCGGTCAGTGGTCAACGGGTGATTTCTTTATGGTATGGGAGAGTGGCATAAGGGAGTTCCTTCACCCTCAGCACTGGTGGCTCTATGTCCTCAATAGCATTGGCTTCATAAGGGCCTTTTGGTGCTCGAGTGGTGGCATTCATGCTATGGGTTTGGTCTTTGTTCCCTCTTATCCCTATCAAGGAATCTTTCCATATCTCTTCCTCATTGCTGTTCTCTTTTCATAGCGATTGAATGGGGGTAAGCGGTTGAGGAGTATTCAACCACTTTATTATATTTCTTGACATTAGCATGGTTGTTGGCTAACCCCAACAACACGATAAGTGTCTTCAACTGCTATAAACCAAGTGAATATCTAAAAATACCATCTTTCTTGATCCTTGGATGGGTGTATCTTAAGTGACAACAGGATCTAAATCCTTCACTTCTAGCATCACCCTTGAAACCTCACTATGATGTTCCTTAAAGATTCTCCTTGCTCCTACCTCATCATCAACAGAGCTTGTGAGCTCTTCTAGATCTTTTTCATGGCCAAGAATTACTTCACAAACATTCACTTAAACTCAGTAAAAGAGGATATCACTCTTAGAAGTAAGTGAGTAAACCACCTGAGCATATATTCCTTAAGTGTGGTGAAGAAAATCTAAAACATAAGAAAGTCATCCACATATAGTAAAGAAATCATTGACTCAAAAGCCTCCACATGATTGATGGGATTTGTCTTGACTCTATATGATTCCATATGAGATAATTTGAACATGGGAGGTGGGCACACCTCAATAATTTCCCTGGAAAATACATTAGTAAGTTTAGGTTCTTCTTTTTTGGTCCACCAAGCTAGTGGGCTATATTCTTTATTGCTCATCCATATATTAGTGTAGTCGGGAAAATGTGTCAAAGTTAATTTTCTCCCTTGGAACCTTCAATGATCTATTGAGTCGAAGGATCCCTTAGAGAAGTTATCAACTCACACTCACCAATGGAGGCCACCTAGAGCGTCTTGAATTATTTTCATGGTTTTGTCTTTTATCTCCTATAAATATTGATAGGTAATGAATATGTCATTCTCCATGTTAACTGAAGGCACTTCTGGAAATCACTCATCTGGCTGGGCCTATCTTTTTGTCATTAGCATCGCTCCATTATTATCACACCTAAAAGATGTTGAATCTAAATATATATGTGAATGATGCCCAACCTAACAAGCAGGTTAACCTGGTGAGCTAGAATCTATGAATAAGAACATAGAGTGTAGACAAAGTAGACAAACAAGAGTAGGAGACTAGATATCACAAATTGAAAGAATATTCATGATCAGTGGCGGAGCAAAAAATTTTATTAAGGGGGGCCTAAATTATACACTACAAGAAAATCACCCATTACCGGCAGAATTTTCTGGCGATTTTCAGACGGTTAATTTTTCGCCTGTCAATTTTTTGGGGTTTGTCATCTCATCTTGAATGTCAAAATTCGTTAAAATAATTCTGTTTCCTGTCACATTACTAGAGCTAAGAGGAGTTGTAAGATAAAAATTAAGAATGCAAATAACATGGAGAGAGAGGAGTGAAAAGGAAAGTTGTGCTCGAGATTGTGAGTTGCGAGAAATGAGCAAAGGGGAAAACGAAGCAGGCAGTTTGGGTCTAGGGAAAGCAAGCCATTTGAAAGCAGTCTCAGTTTGGGTACATGATATGATATTGTTACCAGAGTGAAAATTTTTATTAGAAAGTTATTGTGAAAATTAGTAATAAAACTATTCCGAACAAATCCTAAAGCATATTCTTGAATGTTAAATTATAGAATTGTTAGGTCTTATTATCTATATAATAATGCTAATTTTTTATGTAAATTAATTCTCCACATTTAAATTTGCTTTAAAACAAGTGCAAAATATAAAAAATTCAATTAAAATGTATATAACACATATCTTAAAATAAATACAATACTTTTAAGATCCATTTTGACAAAAAAAATTTGATCAATAAATTTGGTAAATATTTTTTTTTATGAATATATTACATGTAATAAAAATGGTGACTAAATAATTATACCTAAATCTCTTCCTTTTCTCAAAAAAAAAAAAAAAAAAAAGCTTTAAGCTCTTGTCACACGGAGCCAAATTTTTTTTCTTGGGGGGTGGGGGGGACATGTGCCCCCCTCCCTCCGCCCATGTTCACGATTAGAGAATAATCCAGAGTCCAAGATTCAAGGTCAAAGCCCCTAAATTTAAGATACAATTCCCCCAACGATTTCTCATTATCCAATATTTATACAATTCCAAGGGCTATAGGAAATGTTATATAGAGAAATAATAAAGAAAATAATACAAGTTACATATAATAGCCATACAAATTTGCATGCTAAACTAATACTTGTCACCTCATGATAGACTAGATAAGTATGAAGTCAATGAGCGAGCTCTAAGGGGGTGAGCTCGATGCATGGCGGCAAGTAGGCTCTTGGTGAATTTGCGAGTGAGCCCTGACAAGTGGTTGGCATGATTGATGACTTATGCAGAAGATCTTAAACAATCCAAGATTCAAGGTCAAAGCCCCTAAATTTAAGATACAATTCCCCCAACGATTTCTCATTATCCAATATTTATACAATTCCAAGGGCTATAGGAAATGTTATATAGAGAAATAATAAAGAAACTAATACAAGTTTGTCATTCTTAGGGAGAGATAGAGAGATAGTGAGAGGTAGCGTCAAGTGGCAGTTTGATGTTGGATCCTCAATTTATCTCGTATAGGGCAAGCTCCATAGTAGGCCCAAAGAAGTTGAGCCCATTAATCCCTTTGAGTGAATCCTTTTATACCTTCCAACAATATTCACCAAAAAAATCATTCTTGAGGACATGTATCCTCATTAAGACCTCATAGCTACCTGCAGAATACTTGTAAAGGAATTCACGTATACATATATATTCATACATATATACAAATGAAAATTTTAAAAAATATTGATGGCGAGTCAAAAATTTCTCTAATGGTTTGTCTTAAGATTGTGCCACATATGTGTTATAATTTTCCCCTTTACATTCTAATTAATTTTCATAATTTATTGTTTTGCAAATACTTTGACTTTAAGTAATAAGAGAGGAAATAAGAGGCAATCTACAACACACAATGTCACAATATTTAGTGGGGGGAAGCTCAATATATTGGGAGTACATAACTCTAGTGCCTTTACCCAAGAGATGCACCTACTGATTTATCAAAATTTTATAATAACAAATCATGCAATATCAAATACTTGCAAGATGTGGATAGTTCCCGACATACATTAGAGATCCTATAGTGATGTTTGTTAAAATAATAATAAAAAAAAATCAAATAAGTGTGTCTTGAATAATAAGCTTTAAGTCTTGCATATAATGTAAAATACTTAAATTATGTTGATTCTTTTTCATTATATTTAATTAAATTATATATATATATATATAAGCGCACGCGCGATAATATTCAAATTTTAATTCAATCTCTTATTTTCTTGGAAGATGAGCCAAAAGTAGTTTAAAGTTATTATGCTTGAATGCGGATCACACAGAAGAGAATGAGGAAAAATTATTAGGTCCGAACATCGGACCTAAAAATAGGTCTGGTGTCCGGACCTAAAAATAGGTCCGAATATTCTTTTAAAATTTACCTCGTGTACTGTGATTTTTGACTGCGCTTAAAGTGCGCTTTGACTGTGCTTTTTGAGTGCGCTTTACCTGCGCTGTACCTGCGCATTTGACGCGCTTGACTTAAAATTCCACGGACACTTAAACATTATACATGTTAATATTTTATTAATATCTGAACATATCTCTACGTTTGATGTCCTTACCTAATAATTTTCCCTCTCCAAAAGGAGAGATGGAACTCTCGCAATCTGACAAATAATTCTGATTTTTTTTTTTTAATTTAATATCTAATTTTAAAATAAAGATCTAAATATCAATCATCATTAAATGACGAGGATTTTCTGTTTACAAATTCAAGTTATTTTTTATTCTAATTATTCTGCCAAATTATTTTGTACGAAACATTGAAAAGTCAATTCAATGATATTTCATTTTTTTATATATTTTCCGTTAAATTAAAATTTCTTGTTGTCCAGTCGGATGATTCCTTTGCCCACATGATTTACTATTGTTGTAGCCTGTAAAGGGGAAACGAAAAAATGAAGAGCAAAATTAAGAAAAGCTGATAGGAGTGACAGCGGAGTTGGGAGAGGGGTTGGCGGTATTCTTCTCTGCCATTGCCTATCTATCTCTATAATTTCTCTTAGCTTTGGTCTTTGTCTATGCTCTTCATAGAGCCTTAGGCCTATCTAGGGTTTTCTTTACCTCATCGCCATTTCTTCGTTGCTGCTAAGGCTTCGAGTGAAGTAGAGTTTTAGCTGTACTTCTCGTGAGGTTTTGTCTTCCTTTGCTCTCTCGTTTTTCAGAGTTTTGTTAGGGTTCCATTTCATCTCTTCTTCTTTTATTATTTTTTTTTAATTTTTACTGTTTGCTGATTTCGCGAGGTAACCTGGTCCCTTTTTTCCCTGAAGGTGAATGGAAAAGATATACTTTTGACACTTTTGGTTTAGGGTTTCGCGGATTCTCCTCAAACAAGGGCGGCATCAACGTGCAGAAATCATGCAGATGAACTCGATCAAATCAGCGATTCACGTTTCTATGGTTTATATAGGTGACAGGAAGATGAGAATTATGAGTTTGTAGGTTCTTTTTTAAAGAAGATACGCGAAATGCGAGCCTTTTTATCCCAACATCTCGACTACTGTTTTCTCATTTCCTTCTTCTAGAAAAGGAGGGTTTCTTACTGTATTTACATCAATTTTGGTTCTTAATCGATCGAAGTCGGTGTTTCATCTTGAAAAGTTGTGACCTAGGCTTCGCAGCTGTGTCCATTCCTGGAGCTTGTTTGAGTAAGAACGTGAAAAAAGGAGTCACTCCGATCCATGCATGGATGGGAGGGAGGGCATGGGGATGTCCGGCCCAGCTTCCTACTTTATGCACCGAGGTATGGGAGCTCCGGGCTCCGGTTCGCAACAGAGCTTACACGCTCCACTCTTAATGTCGCGTTCGGTGCCCAACCCAAACCCTAGCTTTGCCGTTCAGACATCGGCTATTGGAGGTTCCGGAGGCTTCGGTGGTGGTGGGGCACAGGGATCGGCTTTCCAGGCCTCATCTCCTCCAACTATTTCTCCTCATGCGGTCAATATTGGTCCCGGTGGCAGCGGTGGCGTCGGGTTTGGACATGGAGAGCCCGTGAAGAGGAAAAGGGGGAGACCCCGGAAATACGGACCCGACGGATCAGTATCTTTGGCTCTCTCGCCCCTCTCATCTCCGACATCAGTTTCCGGCACATCTGCCGGACTTTCAGGATCGGGAACGGGGACGATGACTCAAAAGCGAGGAAGAGGGCGGCCGCCCGGGACCGGAAGGAAGCAGCAACTGGCTTCTCTTGGTAAGTGGGAAGCAGGGTACTGCGTTATGAACTCACGAGAATTTGTTTTATTTTGTTGCTTTGGTGCGTTGTAATTTGTACTTGTTGATTTGGCTGTCCTTTTCTACATTCATTAATCTCATTAGTAAATATCTTCTTTTATTATTTTTTCATATTTGATGATCATCTGGCTTCTTATTTGAAGTATAAGTCAACTGTTCCCAATGTAAATAATATTATACTGCCCCTCTTCTTATTTTTAATTCCATAAAATGCACATGGCTGATGTCTTTCCTATTGTTAATTGTTATTTCGTCTTATTTTAGGTTAAAGATTGTTCTACTTTTCCTTAAGTGCCTTTCTTCTGACTCTTTCCTTTTCAGGCACTTTTAGATTATATATTCGATATCATTTTTAAATTCTTATGAATAAGACATTATTATAAGGTTTTTATATCTTTGTCTGGGCCTAAAAGTAAAATTGACTACATTTTCCTTGTTTGACAGATTTTAGTTTGGCTTTGCATGGGCGCTCGCTGTAAGACTAGTATCTAACCAGATATGAGATTGAATTGAAGCAATGACTGGAAATTTTAATTGAAATACTGGTTTTATAAAGGCAGTTCTGTACGAGATCATTTGCAGCAAGGAAATCTGACCCGTGATCTTGATAATGATATTTAAGGACTTGAGCATGTCATTCATCCTTTTTTTATTACAATTTTAGAGGCCGAGATACTTTTTTTCTTGGAAATTGCGTTTTCCAATGAATTTGGTGGTGAATTTAATTTTTTTTCATTGAATTGTTTATTTTTATTGGCTTTTCAATCTGATATGTTGCTATATAATCTCTATAATGTAATCAAGATTACCCTTTCCTAGGATTCTGTCGAAGGAATTTTTAGTTTATAATTTTAATTTGTTTTTCATGTTTATATCTGAGAAAAATGCCCTGACTATTTATTTGCTTTTGACAGGCGAATGGGTAGCTGGTTCTGCTGGAATGGGTTTCACACCTCACATCATAACGATTCCAGTTGGAGAGGTCAGAATGGCACTTTTGCTTTAGTATTTCCCATTCAGAACTGTGGAGGTCCTCTTGCGATGAAAAAGTTTTTGATTGTGCTTCACAGCGTGTTCTATCTTATTTGATATTATATCAAGAGTTTACCTGTTATGTTATTATGCAAGTTAATGGCCAGCTCATGCTGTACGTAAGTTTTGGCATATTACAACATCAAAACTTAGTGCTTTACTTTCAAATTGTGAATTTTAATTTACATTCTGATAGTAAAGGGTTGGGTTTGGTAGTTGACAAATAGTGTAAAACTTATCGAGAAAGATTGTACGTTTTAGATATCTCAGGTTTTTTGTTCGAAGCAATGGTAAATTAGATGGGGATATTATTAGTATAATTCAAGTTGGATGGTTGAAGTGCAGGAATGTATCAGGCTTGTTGTGTGATAGAAAAGTACCCCTCAAATTTAAGTTAAAACTTTATAAGATTGTGGTGAGACCTGCGATGCATACGACTCAAAATGTTGGGAATTAAAAGACATGCATAAAATTAAGTTAAGTATTGCAGAGATGACGATGCTCATGTGGATGTCTGGCTTCACATTTGGAGATAGAATGCGAACTGAGTATATACGTGAAAACATTGGAGTAGCTTTAGTGACAGATAAGATTAGAGAGAGTCGCCTTAGATGGTTTGGTTGCATAAAATGTCAGCCTTCCAATGATTCGATTTGGAGAGTAGATGTATAAAATCTGATATATATTAATAAATGTAGAGATAAATCTAATTTGATTGGGAAGTATTATAAATGAACTTTGGTTATTAGATTTAGATTAGAATTTTGCTCTTAATATGACACATTGGAGAAAAATAATTCATGTAATCAACTCCATATAGTGGGATAAAGGCTTGATGTTATTGTTGTTATGATAGTGCATTATATTCTAATTAGAACTTTTGCATCATCGAGCCAACCCATGTGTTAGTTTAGGTTATATTACTATCAATAGCACCCTAAAATCACGGTATGCTATTTGTAATTTTAAATATTTTTAAGGGATACCCTAATTCTTGAATTGAATATATCTATTTATCATGTTTTCCAATTTCCTAGCAGCTTGTGCACCCATCATAGAAGTATTCAAATATACTATGTATTTTTTATGCATAATTACTTTAATCCTAAAAATGGCATAATAATAGAATATAAAAAACTATCACAGCATTCATTTAATTTGAGAAGTTGCCATTTACGGTAATTAACAAAGTTTTATGGTCTGAGTATTGGCTGTAACTTTTCGTCTTTGGGTTGATTGTTCGGGGAGAGCTGTTGGTTGCAGTGAACTAAGTTGCACCATCCTGACTGAATCTATTCTTAAGTATGACTGAGACATGCTTGAGTAGAAAATCTCAGATTTCATGCCTTAATCAAATGCTGAGTATTGACATGACAAAGTGAAGAAACTAGAATTTTTGATTACTTTTAAGTACTCTTTAGCTTTTGTAGTGTACACTTGTTTATTGAGAACTGAAAGATGCTTATTTTAGTGACCTATCTGTTTCAATTGTACGTGCATGCATGATTATCATGGCATCTTTTTGTAAAGCTTGATTGAACTTGTATCTTAGTTAGTATGTTTTTTGAATTATGAAACATTATGCTTCTGTAGTGCAGCTTTCATTAATTAAATGAATCTGCACATAATATTATTATTTCCTTTTTGCAGGATATTGCATCAAAGGTAATGTCATTTTCACAGCAGGGGCCAAGAGCAGTCTGTATCCTCTCGGCAAATGGCGCTGTTTCTACAGTCACACTTCGACAACCTGCAAGTTCTGGTGGCACTGTGACTTATGAGGTGTGTCCAGTTATCTTTTCTTTTTCCTTGCCCTGTTTGAGTCGGTCTGGTTGGATTATATAATGCATTAATTCAGCTTCTGGTGTTCTGCCAGTGTTTTCTGATTGCAAATTGTCTACTTGCAGAATGACAAAGGTTGTGAATAGAAGCCAATGTCTAAAGGCCTTCGTATAAAGTATTATTATTATTTTTGAACTGGCTGATGGGGGGTATGCTATGTGAGCTTTGAATAAGCAGATGATTGATATTTTATGATCATTAACCTGATATTCACCTTTATCTCTTATCCCTAGATAATACATTTTATACTCATAGAATGTTGGTTTTTTTTTTTTTTGCGCATCTGGTTTTACTCATGTCAATGAATCTGTTGTTGCCAAACGTCATTGTAGGAAGTTCTTTTAATGCACTTTGCTCATCTTTCTCTAAATAAGTTTTCCCTATATTTATTTATTAAAATATTGAACAGATGAGAAGGAATATGCTCGTTTGTTCAATTCTTGTCAAACTATGTCAATCCATTTAAGTAGTCGTATGCACAGTCCTATTTCCCATATGGTTGTGATAGTACTAACAATTATGATGATGATTTATACAGACTGCAGGGTCCTCTATGATTTTAGTATGAGTTTTTTGAGACGATGATTTTGCACCTTTTTGTTTTTCCAAAATTAAGTGTCTTAATATCGCCTACAATAATAACAACATCACTCTATGTGGAGTCAGTTACATGAGTCCTTTTTTTCCATTGTGTCCTGTTAAGAGTCAAATTTTCATTTAAATCTAATAAAAAAAGGACATTTTTAATATTTTTATAACTAAATTTTTTTAGGTCTACCTCTACCTTTCTTAACACAAGTCAAATCTAATACATCTATTGCAGGTCATCGGAAGGCCGCCATTTTATATGACCAAATCATCTAAGGCGACTCTCTCTAATCTTATATTTAACTGTAGCTACTCCAACTTTTTCACGCCTAATGTGACCCATTTTTTAATATGCTTCTCCCTTAGTCCTCGTTGGTTTGTGGTTGAAGCTGAAGATTTTGCACAACTAGTAGTGAAAATGTTTTAATATGCTGATAGGGTATTCTTCTATTCTTAACCAAGAAAAAAGATTCAGTTTCCCTCTGTTTATAGAAATTGCATATCTTTAATTTTTTGGAAAGAAACAAATTCCTTGTCCTTTTTCTTATTTTGAATTCCATTGTCCAAATTTCATCGAATTAGTCCTGCAATATCATGTATGTAATTGATTTTTAAATGGATGGTAATGTCGTGAACTTGTGTGTTAGCATGACCTGCAGCATTATGTGTTCACTTCATGTCTCTTGAGGTGTTGGTAGCTTTGAAAAGAATAATGCACTAGGACATGGTACTACGTTATTTTCATTTTTCTGCCAGAGAATGCATATGAGCATCTGTTTGGTTATTGCATGGCAACTTTGACTCACAGGCCAATTCTCTATTGTCTTTGAATCTCTTGTGAGATCAACTACGCTTGTGTATTTCAACCTTGTATGTTTTCTTGCCAATATTTTCTGTTCTTTCCTGCTTTTTTTCTCAGTTTGTGAAACCTTTTTTTAAGTTTAAATTTCAAAACCATTTAAATAGTATCAGACTTGGACCAATTCTGATATTCTTGTTTCTTTAGTTGCTGATTTATCATGAGCAAAATTGCTCAGAATTCTATAACTTTATGCACAAAATCTTGTCTTTTTTATTTTATTTCATTTCTTCCTTACATCTTTTGTCCTGCTCAAAGCTTGCTTGTTACTTACAAATGAGATTTTGGAATATGTAGTTTGTCTTTTTTTTTTTTTAATCATTTTACATTATGCATAATAACTTTGATAGCATTCTAAGCTGACAATTATTTCTCATTTTCTGTTGATCATACTGTTTTTTAATCTATAGAATGCTCTAAATCTTGATTTTTATAAAGAAATTTTATCATCCCTTTCAAGGACCTTCTTCAAGTCTTACTCTGCTATTAGGCTTATTTGTTGTAGTAACATTTTGATAATGATTGCAAGTTTTAAGCTTCTCTCTCTTTTGAACTGATTTACCCCTATGTTATTGGTTCAGTATGTTGTCTTCTTCTTAACAATCTGTCCAAGTGCTTTATGTTTGGTGTGTATGTTTGTGTGGGGTCTTTATGCTTGACGGAAATAACATCATAATGTAATAAAATTTGTTCTATTATTCTAAAGTTTCTTCGGCTTGATCCATCTTTGGATTTTTAGATTGAAAAAATTATTGATAATTAAATTTAAAATTGTGTTTTTGGACTCCGACACTATTTAATTCATTTGATTAGTTTTTTGTTGTTGTTAGGAGGCTTTTAATGTTAGGTTTCTTGGCTTCATCTGAAATCTACAGTACCATTTATTGTGATTTAGTCATGGTGCAGCTCTATTTGACACAGACAATTGCATTTTCTCTTTATCTTTTATTTCTCAATCCGTCTCTATAAGTTATGAGTAATAAATCAAAATATTGCTAGACTTATTTTTTTTAAGTACCTCAACTCTTAAAATCTTAACCAATTTGGCCTTCTTGTCAATTATTCCATTTATGTTGGAAATTTTTCTTGAGGGCAATATGGACATTTAGGCTCAATCTCATTAGTTTGAGCTATTATTAAGTAATAATGTTGACCCTAAAAAAATCCAAAATGCTCTCATAAAAAACCTTCCTCTAGCTTTTATCCAAGAAAATTACAAAGTTATTAGTAAGATCAAATTTGTTTAGATTTGACCCTTGTTAAGAAAGGAAGTGGTAGACCTAAAAAGACTTGGTTAGAAAATATTAGAAATGACTTTTTTATTATTATATTTAAATGAGAAATTGACTCTGAACTAGACACAATGGAGAAAAAAGATTCATGTTGCCAACCACACATAGTGTGATAAATACTTGATGTTATTAATATGGTTGTTGTTGGTAAGTTGAGAAACTAAACTGAACATATAAATCAATGGATAGTTTTGATCATTCACACAATAAATTATTTATGCACGAATTTTCAACATCAAAGTCATGACCGGGTTTTTTAAATTTTCTCCGCCTAATTGTTCTTCTCAGTATCATTTTAGATTAAGGAAAACCATGATTCACATTTGTTCAGTCCGTGCATGAACAAATTACTTCGTGATATATGTTTTTAAACTATTTACATTTTTATTTAATGATGGCATATAGTTTCTTACAGTCCAGCATGTGAAATAATTGTGGAACGAAAATGTGGAAGCTATTAAAACATACAAAATATAATTGCACTAGTTGGAGTTTACAAATTATGGTTAAGTGGGCCTTTGGAATTGGAGATTTACACTTTTAGTTGTTTTGGGACTTGGTTAACCCGCTCATTTAATTTACTTTAGTTGTCTAATGTATACTTGAAAAAATATGGTAGTGTATGAATCACAATTTTTGTTCGAGTATTGCAATATTTCTACTCTTTTGCCTGCTAAATTTGTGTATGTGCGGGTCTTTCTAAACGCAGTAAATCTTGTAATGTTTTGATTGCAAAAGCTTATAATTGGCAATATATATAGGTCAATTACAAATTCATCTCTTCAAGAAATTTTCTTTACTAGTTACCAATCCTCTGTTATTTCTTTATATATATATATATATATAATGATTTTTTTAGAAAGTTTAATGCAAATATCTTGGTATCGAAGTTGTATCAAATGATTATTTTAAGGCCATGTTGATTATTCTTTTATTCCATATCAACTTTTGACTACATTAGCCTTCAACAAATAGCAAAAGCTGTGACGGTGACAAAATGGAGTTGGGCATAGGACTTTAGCAAACTGAATGATGAGAAAGTTTGGAAAGTGATGGGTGGAATTGAGATCTCTTTTGTTTAGGGGAAAAATGAGAAATGGGAGGCTTTATGAAGAATAAGTAACAACACTTGTGGTTTCCGCTAATGTAATTTGTGCATATCTACATGTTTATTATGTTTAAACAAATTTGCTTTTTGAATGTGTAGGTCACTTATATGTAGATTGGAGTTCTAGGTTTATTATCATAATTTACAGTAGTTATCTACCCTTTTTTTGTTGTCAAATTGCATGGTTGCAATTACTTGATTGGAATAACTTTAGCAACTTTAAGTGCACATAAATTGTGTTACCATGCTAGTTATATGAATTGAACTTGCATTTTGTAATGAGTAAAATATACTCATTCTTAATTTTCAAAGTGTCAAGGAGATGGGGTTTTCAATTTTTTGCACATGCAAAGCTAAAACTTCTTATTGCCCATTGTTCCTTTCTAGAGAGCTTGTGATTCTTTGTTACCTCTCTAGAGAAATAACTATTAAGGATAGACATATGGCCTCTAACATGTAAAAAATCGACACAATACTCCTTGACATAACAAAGACATACATTAACACAAAAAGAACATGCATGAGTTGTTCCTTGTTCAATACAACAACAACAACATCAAGCCTTTATCCTACTACATGGGGTCAGGTGCATGAATCATTTTTTCCATTGTGTTCTGTTAAGAGTCAAATTCTCATTTAAATCTAATAAAAAAGATCATTTATATTGTTTTCTAACCGAGTTTTTTTAAGGTCTACCTTTACCTCTCTTAACATATGCCAAATCTAATACACCTACTATCCTAATTTGGTCATCGAAATGCAAACATTTTGTGACCAAATCATCTAAGATGACTCTCTCTAATCTTATCTGCCATTGGAGCTACTCCAACCTTTTCACGTGTATTCTTGTTTCACATTCTATCGCTAAGAGTAAAGCCACTCATTCACTTGGGCATCCTCATCTCTGTAACACTTAACTTAATCATATGCTTCTCTTTTAATGGCTAACATTCTGCACCATAAAGCATTATAGGTATCTCTAAATGAATAAATTTCATATGTAGATCATTCTTATTATCTTTATACTTCTCCATCATGCTTTCATAGTAGATCTACCAGGCATGAATCCAAATTGATTTTGAGAAACATTAGT